GGGCCGCAACCCGCGTTCGCCTACATGGGAGTCCAGCAACATAGCCATTACGCTAACTGCTGGTACCCTCGCTTTCTCTTTTTCTCTTCTCTCTCTCTCTCTCTCTCTCTCTATATATATATATATATATATCCCTTCCTCCCTCCCTCCCTCTTACTCTCCCTCCTTTCCTCCCTTCTCTGAAAGGAAGGAAGGAAGCTCAATAAAAAATTCTTCTAAAAAAAGTTAACCTTAGCACAAACTGCTAAGGCCCATCCCCAAGTTTCTGTATCAATCCGTCTAAGTCTGATCATTTGCATTTTGGTTAAAAGTCCAAATGTGATGGTCCCCAGAAAAATTTATGAAGAACCACTTGCTTGGGACAGTATTTCACAATTTTAGATTTGCCAAAATTATAATTTGTCATTATATAGTTTCCCACTCTAACTCAGACTTACCTTAATATTTACAAGGGAATATCTATATTTTTTAATTACAACATTTTCATTGTGATACAATATGTATAACAAAATTTACTGTTAATCTTAACTACCACGCCACCTGCTGGTCCCACAATTTACTGTGAATCTTTAAGTGCACGAATCAGTGGCACTGTGTACATTCACAGTGCTGTGCTCCATCACCACTATCCATCTCCAGAACCTTTTATCACCCCAGGCAGAAACTGTACACCCAATAAATAACTTGCCATTGTCCTCTACCACCAGCCCCTCTGTGGCACTTAATGTGTCTATATAGCCCCTATTCTAGGTTTCTAATATAAATGGAATTGTACAGCCGTCACCATTGCCTGATGGATAAGGGAGCCAGATCCCACATGGCCATGGTTTGACTCCCAACTTGAGAGGCTTAAAAAACAGTAGATACATGTGCATGCCTGCCTGGGATTCCCAACAGGATGGAGAAATGGAAGAGAAGGAATTGTAGCATAACCATGAGCCCATTGTGGTATGTTTTTCTCCCTCTCTCTCTCTCTCTTTCCGTCTCTGGTGAGTGCATGTATCCTCTGGCAAATAAAAAAAAAAAATTTTAATATGAATATTATCCTCTGGCAAATAAAAAAAGTAATATGATTATTTTAAATAAATGGAATTATGCAACATTTGTCGTTTTGTGTCTGGCTTATTTCACTTAGCATAATGTTTCCTTTTTTCATTCTCTTTTTTTGATTTTAGAGAGAGCTTTTCCTATAGGGTGTGTGTGCTCACCAGAGAGACAGAGAAAGAGAGAAAATGAGAAATCACTCCCCCCTTCCCCCCAGAGGGGATGACCATGCCACAATCCCTTCTCCTTCATTCTCCCCTAGGGATTTATGTACACATGCGCACCAGCATGAGTTTTAAGCTGCCAGGTCGAGGGCTCAGACTACAGTTGACCATGTGGGAGTCCAGCACCTTAACTACTACGCCACCTGCTGGCCCCAGCATAATGTTTTCAAGGGTCCCATGTTGCTGCATAAGATTGTCAAAGTATTCTTGATCAGATTCTCAAAGTATCCATCACTCAGAGCCACTGCTAATGAGCTTTATTCAGGTTAATGTGTCCCTAATTTTGAAGGACAAATAATTTATCTGAAAGTTTGGGGAGTATCACAGCTGACCTTTGGTTCTTTAATTTTTGTACACATAATTTTTTTTGAGAGATTTTTGCTATAGGGCGCATGCACTTGCCAGACAGACAGAGACATAGAGACAGAAAACGAGAAATCACCCCCCCAGGGGAGATAGACATGCCGCAATCCCTTCTCCTCTATTCTCCTCTTGGGATCTTGGGCATGCACGCACACGCGCCCGGCGTGAGTTTTAAGTCACCAGGTCTGGGACGCGAACCGCGGTCGACTACTTGGGAGTCCAGTGACATAGCCATTACGCTAACTGCTGGTTCTTTTTTTTACACATAATTTTCACAAAACTTCATCATGTCACTGGGCATTTTCCTGCCTCGGACCCTTTGCCATCACTGCTTGTTCTACCTGTAATTCATTTCCCCAGCATCCTCCTGGTTCTCTTTCTCACATCCATTAGGATTTAGTTCAAATCTCACTTTCTCAATTTCTGAATTTTGGAATCACCCAATTTAAACATATAATCTCCAAGTCATCTTTATCCTCCATCCTAATGTATTTTTCCTTAAGGTTTTAACATTCTTTTTTAAAATTATTTATTTATTTATCCACTCGTTTATTTTTAATTGGACCAGAGAGAGACACAGAGAAAGGGAGGAGAAAGTGCGAAAGCAAGCCACCATGTCCAGGACTTGAACAGTGGTCGGCAATGTGGGAGTGACCAGCACCCCAACCACCATGCCACCTGCTGGTCCCTGTTTTAATATTCTTAAATAGCGGCTGGCAGGTGGCATGGTGGTTAAGGTGCTGGACTCCCACATAGCTGACTATATTGAATCCCAGACCTGGTGGCTTCCTCTCTCTCTCTGTCTGTCCGTCTGTCTGTCTCTCTCTCTTAAATAATAATAATAATAAATAAAATAAAATAACTTTTTTAAATTATTAAACATATATCGTTCTACTAATTTATTGATTACCATACTCCCCAATAGTTGTGATGCCAACATTATCATTAAGTATCATTTTTAATGTACTTGTTCCCCTGAGCATTCTAGTTTTCTACTGGTCATATTTATACTTCAATATTACTGTTCCCAAGGTGGTCCTTTTTCAAAAGAAAAAAGTTATAAACAAGTATTTTTCAGGTCCAAAATCAACCTGTCCATTGAAATTTTAACTGAGGTTGCATTTTAAATTCATTTATGGTGAACTGAGTTTATTATGTTGAATTTTCCTCTTAAATAGCATGGTCTTTCCACTCACTCATGTCTTAAAATTTTCTGCATTTTGGGCCAGTCTGTGGGTCATCCAATCCGGATGGCGGGAAAGCAGAAGGCGGGGCCTCTATTCTGCCCCACCCCTCCCAGGATGCTCCTCGCCCTTCGCTCCCACACCAAAGCCTTCCCAGAATGCAAGCTGGCCCTCGCACTGCGCATGCGCGAGATCCAGGCGCTGACGCGCGAAGTGAGCGCTGGCGTTCAGGCTTTAGCAGGGGTGGCGTAGACTGTCAGTGTCACCCTACAGGTGGTCCCTAGGGCGTTGTGAAGACGCGGCCCTTGATGTCCTCGCCTCGAAGTTGAGTTCCGCCTCGTGAGCGGTTCCCACACGTGGTCGTGGGTGGCAGGCGTCCTGCAGAGGCTGAAGAAATGGCGCCAGCAGCCTCCTGGGCTCCGCGGTACCGAGACTCTCCACAGGGGGCGTCTTGGATCATGGAAGGTGGGTGTGTCTGTAACTTTCTTGGACTCTTCTTTTGAAGGTTTTCTGGGGCGAGCTCTGGGAAAAGGCCTCGAGGTGGGGTCCGAGTTGTGGGTTTGTGGACAGTTGTTTCTAAGTGCCTGGAAGTATGTGTGTTAAAGAGGAATGGGCGTAGCTGTAGATGGCGTAATGGTTACGTCGCTGGACTCTCACATAGTCAGTCCCAGACCCCATGGTTTAAAACTCATGCTGGGGGAGGCCGACAGGCTGCGTGGTGGTTGGGGGCCCTAGACTCCCACATGGCAGACCATGGTTCCAGTCCTGGACCTGGTGGCTTGCTTTCTCACTCCTCCCCCCCACACTCTCACTCTTCCTCTCTGGTCAAGTTAAAATAAATAAGTAAATAGAGTTAAAACAATTCTTTAAAAAAAAAAAAAAAGAAAGAAAAGAAAAGAAAAGAAAAAGCTCACGCTGGGGTGCCCACCTCCAGGGTAGCACATATTCTAAAATTGGAACAATACAGAGAAGATGAGCATGGCCTCCAGGTAAGGATCATACGCAAATTCGTGAAGCATTCCATATTTTTGGAATAGTATAGGGAAAGTCATTATCGAGAAAACTAGAGAAATAAGTCATTTGTGGGACACAGAAATGGTTTATTACCTGTTGATAACATGTATAGTATTCTCAGCTGGTCTGAGAGGTATTTCATGTTGGGTAAATTCTCTCTACAAGCTAAATGATGTATAGCGAGTGGATGTATAAAAAATAATAATAATGAAATGGGGTATCTGTTCCACAGGATGGGATTTGTTAAAGTTGTCAAGAATAAGGCCTACTTCAAAGAGATACCAGGTGATGGGAACCAGCAGTTAGCGTAATGGCTATGTCGCTGGACTCCCACGTAGTCGACCGCGGTTCGCGTCTCGGACCCGGTGGCTTAAATCTCACGCCGGGCGCGTGTGCGTGCGTGCCCAAGATCCCGAGAGGAGAATGGAGGAGAAGGGATTGCGGCGTGACCATCCCCCCTGGGGGGTGATTTCTCGCTTTCTGTCTCTATGTCTCTCTCTGTCTGTCTGGCGAGCGCACGCGCCCTATAGCGAAAACCTCTCCAAAAACAAAAACAAAAACAAAAAAAAAAGAGATACCAGGTGAAATATAGAAGACGATGAGAGGGTAAACTGATTACTATGCTCAGAAATGCATGGTGATCCAAGACAAAAATAAGTACAACACACCCAAATACTGGATGATAGTTCGTGTAACTATCAGATATTATTTGTCAGATTGCTTATGCCTGTATAGAAGGGGATATGAGAGTCTGCACAGTTTATGCACACAAACTACCAAAGTATGGTGTGAAGATTGGTCTGACAAATTAAGCTGCAGCATATTGTACTGGCCTGCTGCTGGCCCACAGGCTTCTCAGTAGGTTTGGCTTGGACAAGATCTATGAAGGTCAAGTGGAAGTGACTGGAGATGAATACAGTGTAGAAAGCATTGATGGTCAACCTGGTGCCTGCACCTGCTTTTTGAATGCAGGCCTTGCCAGAACTACCACTGGCAATAAAGTTTTTGGGGCCCTGAAGGGACCAGTGGATAGAGACTTATCTATCCCTCACAGTACCAAACGATTCCCTGGTTATGATTCTGAAAGCAAGGAATTTAATACAGAAGTCCATCAGAAGCACATCATGGGCCAGAACGTTGTAGACTACATGCATTACCTAATGGAAGAAGATGAAGATGCCTACAAAAAACGGTTGTCTTAGTACATAAAGAACAATGTAATTCCAGCCATGATCGAGGAGATGTATAAAAAAGCTCACGCTGCTATACAAGAGAACTCAGTCTATGAAAAGAAACCTAAGAAAGAAGTTAAAAAGGAGAGGTGGAATTGTCCCAAGATGTCCCTTGCCCAGAAGAACGATTGGGTAGCCCAGAAGAAGACAAGCTTCCTCAGAGCTCAGGAATAGGCTGCTGAGAGCTAAACCAAACAATTTTCTATTATTTTATTCAAGATAAAGACAATAAACTTAACAACAAAGCAAAAAAAAATAAAATAAAATAAATGTTTTAATTAAAAAAAAAAAAATTCATGCCGGGCACATGTGTGTGCATGCCCAAAATGTCCAGAGAAGAATGGAGAAGGGATTGTGGTGTGGCCATCCCCCCAGGAGGTGATTTTATCTCTCTCTGTCTCTTCATAGAGCCCACACACTCTATAGCAAAAATCTCTCAAAAAAAAAAAAATCAGGAATGGGATGGGCTGGTAGGTGGCATGGTGGTTAAGGCACTGGACTCCAACATAATGGACAACAGTTTGAGTCCTGAACCCGGTGGTGTGCTTTATCTCTCTCTGTCTCTCTTTGTTTCTCTCTGGATAAATTTTTAAAATAAATAAGTGAATAAAGTTATATAAATAATTATTTTCTAAAAATTGAAATTGGGAACCAGCAGTGGCATAGTGGTTATGTCACTGGACTCCCATGTGGTTGACTGTGCTTTGAGTCCAGGACCCATCACTCATGCTGGGTGCATATGTGTACCCAGAATCGAGGGGAGAATAGAGGAGATGGGATTGCGGCAAGGCCATCTCCTCTGGGGGGTGATTTGTGATTTCTCACTTTGTCTCTCTGTGTCTCCAGTGAGCACACATACCCTATAGCAAAAAAATCTCCCTTTAAAAAAAAATCTTAGGAAAAGAATTTTTATAAAAAGAAGAATTGGTCTTATACAGTAGACTCCCCCCCACCCCCAGCTGTCTCTAGTCTGCGTTTCATAGGAGGACCCAGTCTTTGGAATTAAATTTTTTTTCTACATAAGTGGCTTCTTCTTTTTCTTTTTCTTTGTTGGCAGAGGAAGCCGAAAGTGGAGAGAAATAAACCCCGATGGGGAATGGTCCAGTGGCACCCCCTTCTCCATCTTCTCAACATTTTGATCACTCACACACACCAGGTGTGTTTCTCAAGCCACCAGATACAGGACCCAAACCATGCAGTCGGCCATGTAGGATCAAGCCACCTTGACCATCATGCCACTGGCTAACTTGTTATTTTTATTTTCTTAGTGTGCTTTTATGTGGTGGACACAAAGAAAATCTGGCTGGTGGGTCACAGAAAGAGCCTCCCTACCCATAGGAGGCATATTTTGGGGGGAAAAAGAGGCCCACCTTGCCACCAGTACCAAATAACCAAACCGTGTTGACAATCTCATCTTAGACGTGCAAAGAGGAAAGGAACCTAGGGGCAGTGTATTAAGTACTGCTGCAGACTCATTTGGAAAATTCATTTTGGCAATAATATCCCAAAATGACTTTGCCTTTGAGTGTAATTTCCTCTGTATGGTCTTTTTTCTGCCTTTTACTTTCATCTCTCTGATCAACCCTGGTTTGCTTGGCATTAAGAGAAAGGGCATGCAAGTATGTGTTCATTCAGAACAAAGAAGGTTTCCCTGGTAAAGAAGGATACAGTACCCAGAAATTCATTCCTTTTGTGTATCCTTCTGAACACATATTTCCCATTGTCATATCAGGTGGTATGACCAGCATGTTCTGGCTTCATTTATTTTATTTTACTTTCTTTCATATTTTATTTTTAATTAAATTTATCATTACTATTTTGTACAGTGTAGCAATGGGTCCTCAATGTCCAGTGATGCACAGGTATGATAACCAGAGTTTCAGATGTACCCTAACGTAGCCATCTTTCTCCTTTTTATACAGTAGAAAGCAAGGGAGAGTAGGGGGTGGAGGGGAGTGATAAAACAAGCCACTAGGTCTGGGATTTGAACCATGGTCGGCTATGTAGGAGTCAGGCACCCTTAACCACTGTGCCACTTGCCAGCTCCTAGTATACATTTTCAAAGCTAATTGTAGAAATATACTAAAACATAGGAAGAAAGCTTCTACCTCACTAATAAGCAAATAAATTATCCATCACTCATTTTTATCTTTGCACATATAATGTGATCTGATCAATTCTGAAACTGTGAGTTTAAGATCTGTGAGAGCAAGAATTTGTTTTTTCACTGTTGTATCCCAGACAAATAGAACCACTTGGCACACTGTAAATGTCCAAAAAATATTGCCAAATAAATGGATTTTTAAAGGGTTTTGCCACAGGGTATGTATACTCACCAGAGAGAGAGAAGAAATGTGAGAAATCACCACCATAGGGAATGGCCACACCACAACCCTTCTCCATTAAACTATCAAGATTTGGGGCATGCATGCACACACTCCTGGTGTGATTTTCAAGTTTCTGTGTCTAGGATTCAAACAGCAGTTAGCCACATGGGATCCAGCACCTTAACCACACACCACCTGCTGGCCCCAAATGAGTGGATTTTGTAAGAACTAACCATGGTTACTGATAAAATGAATTACTTCATAAATTGAATCCAACAGGTTTTTTTTTTGTTTTTTTGTGGGTTTTTTTTGGAGAGGTTTTTGCTATAGGGCGCGTGTGCTCGCCAGACAGACAGAGACATAGAGACAGAAAGCGAGAAATCACCCCCCAGGGGGGATGGTCATGCCGCAATCCCTTCTCCTCCATTCTCCTCTCGGGATCTTGGGCACGCACGCACACGCGCCCAGCGTGAGATTTAAGCCACCGGGTCCGAGACGCGAACCGTGGTCGACTACGTGGGAGTCCAGCGACATAGCCATTACGCTAACTGCTGGTTCCGAATCCAACAGTTTTTAAGTCAAATAGTTGAAGTAGTTCTATTGACCCACAGAAACGCAAAACCAAACTGTGTTGCAGTAATGTAAAAGAAGTAGATGACAGTACCAGAAGAGGGTGGGATGGTTACGTTGTTGGATTCCCACATAATCAACCACAGTTTGAGTCCTGGACCCTGTGGCTTAAAACTCACACCAGGCATGTGTGCGTGTGTGCCCAAAATCCCAATAGAAGATTGGAGGAGAAGGTATTGTGGCATGACCATCCCCTCTTGGGGTGACTTCTTGCTTTCTGTCTCTGTCTCTCCGGCAAATGCACACGCCCTATAGCAAAAATATCTCCCCCCCCCAAAAAAAAAAAATGAAAGGAGAACAGAGGATAACAGAGCAGTCACCAAAAATGTTTCAAAGTACTTGCTCATGAGACAATTGTGACTGAGAACAGAGTGAGTAAATGTCAAAAATCTATACGATTCACAGGGAGAATTTCTTATATCCACTGCTGCTACCGCTGCTCACTCTAAAACCCAGGACTGATATTCCCATCACTGAACACAGAATGTCCTCTCAAGAAATCTTTGGAGGGCCTTCTTTATGTCTCTGTTCCTCAAGCTGTAGATGAAGGGGTTCAGCATGGGGGTGACCATGGTATACATCACTGAGGCAACCATGCCCTTCCAGGAAGAGGAAGATGCATTTGAACTGAGGTACACACCGAGGCCTGTCCCATAGAATAAAGAAACCACAGACAGATGAGACCCACAGGTAGAAAAAGCTTTATATCTTCCATCGGTTGATGGGATTCTCAGGATGGATGAGACGATTCGAGTGTAGGAGAAAAGGATCCCTGAGAAAGGAACAAAACCGAGAAGGCCAGTCACCACGTACAGCAGAATATAATTGACGAGGGTGTCTGAACAGGCAAGCATGAGGGCTTGAGCAAGTTCACAGTAGAAGTGTTGAATTACCCAGTTGGTGCAGAAGGACAGCCGTAGCATCAACAGACTCTGGATCAGGGAATATGATACACTGAGGAACCAGGACACAAGAACCATCAGGCCACAGAGGCGGGGATTCATGATAATGGGGTAATGCAGGGGGTGACAGATGGCCACAAACCGGTCATAGGCCATCACCATGAGGAGAAATGTGTCCATACCGCCAAAAAACATGAAAAAATACATCTGGGTGATGCAGCCTGCATACGTGATGGCCTTGCTCTGTGTCTGGATGTTCACCAGCATCTTGGGGACAGTGGTAGAGGTGAAACCAATGTCAGCCAAGGACAGATTGGAGAGGAAGAAGTACATGGGAGTGTGCAGGTGAGAGTCGGAGCTGATGGCCAGGACAATGAGCACATTCCCAAGCACGGTGACCACAAACATGGAGAGGAACAGTCCAAATAGAACTGGTTGATGTTCCAAGTCTTGGGAGAATCCAAGGAGGAAAAATTCTGAAACACTCGTTTGATTTCCTGGCTCCATGTTGCTGATTAGCTGGAGAATTAAGAAAGAGAAATAACATTAAACAGACACTAGATAGCATCTAAGTTCTTTCTGATTTTTTATTTCATGAGGTGAAGAGTTGGGCACGAGAGCTTTGCTGTTACAAAATTTAGGAATTCTATTGTCTGTCATTTGGTTTTGGGGTTTTTGTTTGGTTGGTTTTGTTTTTTGTTTTTTGGGTTTTTTTTTTTTAAGAGAGATTTTTGCAGGATCAGCAGGTAGTATGGTATTTAAAGTACTGGACATGCCCACTTGGCCGACCACAGTTTGAGTCCCAGAACTGGTGGCTTGCTTTCTTACTTTCCCTTTCTCTCTGTGTCTGTGTCTCTCTAGTTAAATTAAAATAAATAAATGAATGAATGAATAGAATACAATAGAATAGAATTAAGTAATTCTTGGGACCAGCAGTTAGCATAATGGCTATGTCGCTGAACTCCCACGTAGTCGACCGCAGTTCAAGCCCACGACCCGGTGGCTTAAATTCATGCTGGGCGCGTGTGCATGCGTGCCCAAGATCCCAAGAGGAGAATGGAGAAGGGATTGTGGTGTGGCCATCCCCCCTGAGGGATGATTTCTCACTTTCTATCTCTCTGTCTTTCTCTGTCTTTCTAGCGAGCTCATGCGCCCTATAGCAAAAACCTCTTAAAAATTTTTTTTAAAACCATACTGTTTCTGTTGTGATAGAGTCACAAACAAAATTATAAAAAATCATACAAAATATTTTGAACCTTATCTTTAAAATTCAGTATTTTGAAATTTTGAAAGTTATTCATTAACTGTCAAGAACTATGGAGTATGAGCAAAAATTTTCTGGTATGTACAGTAAATGTGGGAAAATGTAAAAATAAATAAATGAATGGGGAAAAAAAAAAGGGAGAGAGAAAATTTTGTTATAGAGAGCATGAGCTCACCAGAGAGAAAGCAAGAAATCACCCCTGGGGGGGAATGGCCACAATGCAATTCCTTCTCCTCCATTTTCCTCTTGGGATCTTGACCATGCACACACATGTGCCTGTTGTGAATTTTAAGTCAGCAGGTCCAGGACTCGAACTGCGGTCAACTCTAAGGGAGTCCAGCAATGTAACCATTACACCATCTCTGGATCCCTTGTTTTTGTCTTTGCTATAGGGCACGTACACTTGCCATGGAGACAGGTGAAAAGAAGTAAAAACTCACCTCCCAGGGATGATGGCCACATCGCAATCCCTTATTCTCCAGTCTCCTCTTGGGACTTTGGGCACGTACATGTGCCCACCGTGATTTTCAGCCACAAGTGTCTGGGACTCAAACCACACAGCCAGTCATGTGGGATCCAGTGTCTTAACATCCACATCACCTGTTGGCCCAGTCTGTCATTTGTTATAGGCAACATTTCATAATATTGACTAACCCTGTCTTTTAGCCTCTGGGAAATCCACCCAATCCCTTTAAAACTGGCTTAAAAATCATCAAATCTGCATAGTAAAAGCAACTTTAGGTTAAAATGTACAAATGTAAAAAAGTTTTCTACAAATTTCCTACTACATATTTTTTTAACTGCCAGAAGCCATGTGTGCAAATCCGACATCAGTCGTGAAAAATACTGGCAAATAAGCCCAGTAAAGATGATTAAAAGCTAGGGGCCGGAAGGCGGCATGGTGGTTAAGGGCACTGGACTCCCACATGGCCAACCACGGTTCAAGTCCTAGACCTGGTGGCTTGCTTTCTCGCTTTCCCTCCCTCTCTCTCTCACTCTGTTCATTTCTGGTCAAATTCAAATAAGTAAATGAATAAAGTTAAATAAAATAATTCTTTTTTAAAAAAAGATGATTAAAAGCTGATTTTCATCTACTTTTCATTGAGATATCAGTCTGGTTTTCTGTTAATAGTTTTAAAGTTAATTAACTACATATCATGAATGATTTTATAAGCCATTAAATATTCATCTAATAGATGTTTAGTATATTTCCAACTTTTACACTGTTATAAAGAATATTTAAAAAAAAACTTGAAGAGACAAGATTGGAACATTATTGTGTATGGTAATATCTTTTACTTAACTTGATACACAGTGCGTTTATGCTTTGAGAATCCATGTATGCTGTAAAATGTACAATTAAATGTAAATAACAATTAAAGAATACTGTAATAAACAGTTTTGATGCTAAAATGAAAAAAAAAAAAAAAAGGCATGTGTGCTTGCCAGAGAGAGAGAAAGCAAAGCCAGCCCCAGTTTGAATCCCAAGCCCAGAAGCTTGAAAAGCACAGGAGGCATATGTGTGAGTATTCTCAAAATCCCAACAGGATAGAGAAATGGAGAAGGGATTCTGGCATTGCCATGCCTCACTAGGGGTGCTTTCTCTCTCAACCTCTCTCTCTATCTCTCCATCTCTCTCTGGTGAAGACACATGCACTCTGTCAATTATTTTTTAAAAAGTAAATGAATAGGGGCCAGCCAGTGACATAATAGTACTGGACTCCCACATGGCTGAATGTGGTTCAAGTCCCAGACCTGGTGGCTTGCGCTCGCGCGCGTGTGCTCGCTCGCTCTCTCTCTCTCTCCCCCCTCCAAATTGAATAAGAATAATAATTAATTTAATAAATAATTATTTTAAAAAGTAAATGAATAACATATATATCACAGAATAAGCAAAATTTAGGTTTACTTCCCAAAGAAAAAGAAAAAAATACAGATGGGGCCTATAGGTGGTGCAGTGGTTAAAGGCACTAGACTCCAGGGCCAGCAGGTGGTATGGTGGTTAAGGGCGCTGAACTCCCACACAGTGGGCCACATTTCAAATCCCAATCTAGTGGCTTGCTTTCTCACTTTCCTTCTCTCTCTTTCTGGTGAAATAAAAATAATAATAATAAATAATAATTTTTTTAAAATAGTTGAGACCAGCAAATGGTGTGATGGTTACATCACTGGACTCCCACGTAGTCAGCCATGGTTCGACTCCTGGACCCAGCAGCTTAAAACTCATGCCAGGTGCTTGGGAGCAGCAGGTGGGGTGCAGTGGTTAAGCACCCTGGACTCCCACATGGCCGACCACGGTTTGAATCTCAGACATGGTGGCTTGCTTTCTCACTTTCCCTCTCTTTCACTCTGTCCCTCTCTGGTCAACTTTAAATAAAGAAATAAATAAAGTTACAATAACAAAAGTAATTCTTAAAAAAAAAAAAAAACTCATGCCAGGTGCATGTGCATGAATGTCCAAAATACGAAGAGGAGAATGGAGGATAAGGGATTATAGTGTGTCCATCTCTCAGGGAGTGAGTTCTCTCTCTTTGCTTTCTGTCTCTGTATCTCTGGTGAGCACACACCCTATAGCAAAAATCTCTCTTAAAAAAAAAAATTCCCTTTCCTCTCACCATGTTTTTCATATTTCCCTTAACACTTACTGGGCTAGACAGGCTTGACAACGTGGACACACCTCAGGGGTCAGTTCCTTCAAACCTTGTTGTCCCATGGAGGTTGGTGATGAAGACAGATCTTCTCCAAAAAAGAGCAGAGAGACAGAGCCAGACATGAAGTAGCAGACATGGTTGATTTCCCTTGGAGAAGATTTAAGTGTCTTTGGTCTGGCATTTGGGGTTCAAGGAAACTGTAAGTTGGTGAGTTACATGTTGTGCCCTGGAGGCTGTATCCCCTTTGAAGCTTATTAGACAAATTGATCAATGGCATGTCTGTTCCCTGATCATTTGACTCCTTAAGGGCAGGAAGTACATAGAAGAGATCTCTGACCTGCCAACTCCTTATCCCTGGGAGACAAACGATGGAGCCATATGTGATTCTTCTCTCCTGGGACCCTCTCCTCGGGGAAGAGTCACTCTAAACTTCCTTAAGTTACCTCTTGGTCATAAGCGTCAGATTTTTCTGACTTGTAGTTTCCTTAGCAAGCAATGATTGAGTAGGGAAGGGTCCCAGAATTCACTAGGATAGTGATTCTCAAAAGTTAGCCTGGGTGGGAACCAGCAGTTAGCGTAATGGCTATGTCGCTGGACTCCCACGTAGTCGACCGCGGTTCGTGTCCCGGACCCGGTGGCTTAAAACTCACGCCAGGCGCGTGTGCGTGCGTGCCCAAGATCCCGAGAGGAGAATGGAGGAGAAGGGATTGCGGCGTGACCATCCCCCCTGGGGGGTGATTTCTCGCTTTCTGTCTCTATGTCTCTCTCTGTCTGGCAAGCGCACACACCCTATAGCGAAAATCTCTCTCAAAAAAAAAAAAAAAAAAGTTAGCCTGGGTGCCAGCAGGTAGTATGGTGGTTAAGGACTTGGACTCCCTCATGGCCGACTGTGGTTCAAGTTCTGGGCCTGGCAGCTTGCTTTCTCACTTCCTCTTTCTCTCTCTCTCTGTCCCTATCTGGTCAAATTTAAATAAATAAACAAATCTAAATTAAAAATTCTTCCAAAAAAAAAAAAAAAAGTTAACCTGTAGCAGAATGACACAAACTGCTAAGGCCCATCCCCAAATTTCTGTATCTGTCAGTCTAAGTTTAAGTCTGATCATTTGCATTTTGGTTAAAAATTTAAATGTTATGGTCCCTAGAAAAATCCATTAAGAACCACTGTCTTGGGGCAGTATTTCACAATTTTAGGTTTGCCAAAATTATCACCAGGGGTTTTTGTTAATATATAGCTTCCCACTCTAACTCAGACTTACCTTAATATTTCCAGGTGAAGATCTGTATTTTTGATTAGAACATTTTTTATTAATATTTTCATTGTAGTACAACATATGTAACAAAATTGACTGTTGATCATTAAGTGCACAATTCAGTGGCACAGTGTACATTCACAGTGCTGTGCTCCATCACTGCTATCCATCTCCAGAACTTTTTATCACCCCAGACAGAAACTGTACACCCAATAAATAACTTCCCATTTTCCTCTACCACCAGCCTCTCTGTTGCATTTAATGTGTGTATAAGTTTCCTATTCCAGGCTCCTAATATAAATGGAATTGTAGTGCCATCACCATAACCTAATGGTTAGGGGA